CTTGGTTCCATGGTGCCCCACAGTGTCACAATGGTCCCTTGGTTCCATGGTTCCTGTGCTGGTGCATTCCCCCCTCCCCTTCTCAGGCCACCCTGCCAGCTGAGAAATGCTCGCTGGGCCTCGGCCTTGGCCAGCAGCCCCTGGGCTCAGCTCCTCTGGAGCTCATCACAAACACGCTCTGCTCCAGCACTGCTGCTGCCCAGCCAGCTCCTGGCTGCTTTAGGAGCAGCCCTGGGAACTGTTTGTGTTCCCTCGGTGGCACAACATCCCTGTTCTCACCCTGCCAAAGAAAGCTGCTGATGCCAAGTGTGGCCAGGGTGAAACATGGCTGGGACTGCAGCCCCTCTCTCGGGGCCCTACAAACAGCGCTCCAAAAGGAGCCCTTGGAGCTCTCCTGGGCCAGCGAGTCCCTCTGAGTGGGGCCTCTCTGAGCCGGGAACTCTCCCTTTGCTGCACTCGGGGATCCCCAACAACGAGGGAGCCTGGGCCGATCCCCCCACTCCTCCAGGCTCAACCCTTCCCTGCTGGGGAGATGCCAAAGCATCCCCAGGGAGCATTTCCCTGCCCTCAGGGGAATTTCTCACAGGTGCCTTGCACTGACTCTCTGTGTCTGTGTGCACACAGGAGTGCCTGTGCTGGGGAAATGTGGCAGAAATGCTGCTCCATGAGGGCTCTGAGTGCCTTGGATAGCTGAGCCAGTCAGGCCTGTAAGTGAGGTTAAATCACAAGGTCTAAGTGAAATTAAATGCTACTAGGAGTTGTTCTTTTGCTAGTATTGTTATATTTAATATACGTTATAAGCTGAGTTAAATATTTTTAAATGTGATTCCTCTGTTAAATTGCATAGTTATGGGTTATAAGTTAGGTTACATACCGTTAAGTTCTGTTCTCTTGCTAAATTGTGAAGTTTAAAGTTGAAGTTAAGGTTAAGATATAAGTTAAGTCCTGTGAAGTTTGAGCTCTGTTTAGCTTTTATCTCTTTATTCCTTTTATCCTTGCCCTCCCTGTCCTTGTGTCACACACACACACACACACACACACACACACACACACACAGAGTTCTCGGTTCATTTCTGGTTTGATTGCCAGGATTTTGTTTAGTTTTGTTGTTGCTTTGTTTCCTTGCTGTGCCTGAAGTGTCCTGTCAGGAGCAGAATGACTCTTGCCAAGGAACTTTGTGCTGCTGTCACTTTAATATTAAATCTGGTTTTTGCTGGGGATTTTTTCAGCGCTCCCAAGCCCTCGTTGGTCACAGGGTGAAGGAGCTCTGGCTCAGGCTCTGGCCCTGGGGGACACGGGGACGCTGCTGGGGGATCCCTGTCGCCCTGTCCCACCACCCATGGCTCCAGCCCCCGTCCCCGTGTCAGGCTCTGGGGTCGATCTCGTGGAACATCCTCTGGGGGAGGCTGTGGCACCGGGGGTGAGGGGACCCGGGGGGACAGGGGACCCCGCTGTGCACGAGCAGCGTTGGACTTCTCTGGGGGGACTGGGAGGGGACTGGGGCAGAGTGACCTCCCCAGTGACCTCACAGAGCCCCTGTGATGTCACACAGCCCGTGAGATCTCACATCTCTATGACCTCACACAGCTCCCTGTGATGTCACACTGCTGCACTAGGACACAAAATAACTCATGGACTCATATTAAGATTAAAAGAGTAAAAGTAAGTAACTTTTATTTTTGATTTATGTAATATATGATTTTTTAAAAGAGGCAATGATTTGGAGGATGTAATTGCTACTTCTCTATCTTCACGCGTTAAACTCACAGTCCACCAATTCTCTCTTCTTATAAAGAAGAATGTACAATTATTATTTACATGATCAGTGCATGAAAACTCTAGTAGAAATATGTAAACATTAGGAGGCATAGAAAACTTTTAAAAGAACTTTAAAGCATTTAAAAGAGCATGGTGATATTACACAGCCTTCCTGTGATGTCACATAGACATTTCTGTGATGTCACACAGCCTCCTGTGATGTCATACAGACATTTCTGTGATGTCACACAACCTGCTGTGATGTCACACTGACATCTCTGAGATGTCACCTCAGACCCTTGGTGCATTTTTTGCCCTGACAGGGAGATGCGGCGTGTCTCGATCCCTTTGTGTTCCCACACTGCACTCCACTTGCTCCGGCACCTCAGCAAGGAGAAGCCATGCTATGATCTGATCTTCCCGACAGTCCTGGTGGAGGTGAGCCTGTTGGCCAGCGCTGCCTGGCTCAGCTGCCTCCCAGCTCTCTGCCCTCTCATATCCTCAGCTGCCTGGGACGGTGCCCAGGCCCTGTGCTGCTGCCTGGTCCCCGCCCTGTGCGGTTCTGGGCGCCTGCCGGCCGGGTTCCCCATCACTGCCCTGTGCATTTCAGGTCCTGCATTGCCTGGACTTGAGTAAATGTGGTGGCAGTGTTCTGAAGACCATGTCAAGGTACCTCTGGAGTGAATGCTGTCACAGGCATCACCTGCCGCTCCGAGGCCTCGCAGTGCTCACCAAGGATCCTTGGATGGTGAGAAGGGGGCAGTGGCTGAAGCTGCGCTGGGCAAAGCAGCCCCTTGGGCTGGCAGGGCTTCAGGAGCTGAGGCAGCTGCTCCCAGCTCTCCTGCCTCACCTGCCCCAGTGTTTTGGGACAGGTTTTCAGCCTCTCTGTGATGTCACACAGACATCTCTGTGACTTCATATTGCCATCTCTGTGATGTCACACTGACATCTCCATGATGTCACACAACCTTTTGTGACGTCACATTGACATATCTGTGATGTCACACAGCTCTCTGTGATGTAACACTGATATCTGTGATGTCGCACAATCTTCTGTGATGTCACATGGACATCTCTGTGATGTCAGAAAGCTCTCTGTGATGTTACACGGATACCTCTGTGATGTCACACAACAGCCTGTGATGTCACAATGACATCTCTGTGATGTCATGCAGCTCTGAAGTCACACTGACATTTCTGTGACATCACTCAACTCTCTGTGATGTCACACTGACATCTCAGTGACATCACACAGCATTTTGTGATGTCACACTGAAATATCTGTGATGTCACACTGACATCACTGTGATGTCACACTACTCTGTGTGACATCACAAAGCTCTCTCTGATGTCACATGGACATCTCTGCAATGTCACAGTGACGTCACACTGATATCTCTCTGATGTCACACAGCTGTCTAAGATGTAACACGGACATCTCTGTGATGTCACACATCCCTCTGTGATGTCACATGGACATCTCTGTGACATCACACAGCTCGCTGTGATGTCAAATGGACATCTTTGTGATGTCACACAGATATTTCTGTGATGTCACACAGCTTTCTGTGATGTCACATGGACAACTTTGTGATGTCACACAGCTTCTTTTGATGTCACTTGGACATCTCTGTGATGTCACAAAGCTCTCTGTGACATTGCACGGATATCTCTGTGATGTCACAATGACATCTCTGTGATGTCACACTGACAACTCTGTGAGCACACACAGCTTGTTTTGATGTCACTTGGAGATCTCTGTGACATCACACAGCTGTGATGTCAAACGAACATCTCTGTAATGTCAGAAAGCTCTCTGTGACATCACACAGATATCTCCATGACATCACAAAGCTCTCTGTGATGTCAAACAGCTGTCTGTGATGTCACACAGCTCTCTGTGATGTCACACTGACATCTCTGTGATGCCACACTGTCATCTCTGTGATGTCACACTGACATGTCTCTGATGTCACACTGACATCACAGCCTGGAGCAGAGCCCGCGCGGCCTCGGGCTGCAGCAGCGGGCAGGGGCACAGCTGCCAGCCCGCACACCGAGCACCGCGCTCAGGGGCTGCTCCAGGCTGGGGCTGCGGCTTCCCGGCCCTCCTTACCAGGATCTCAATGAACCTCCACAGTTTCTCCTTCTTTACAGATTTTTCAAGATCTCTCCTGTTCAGGAATTTGGCCACACAGAGCAGGGTTTCCTGAGAAGCCTGGAGAGCAATAGAGATACGGAAATGGCCCCACAGCCCAGGGCTCAGGATCAGCATCCCTGTGCCAGGGCCAGGAGGAGGATGCAGCCTGCCAGGCGCCAGGGCAGGAGGCAGCCGAGCCCCCTCCCAGGGGGACAGCAGCAGCCCGCGAGTCCTCACCTCTGCCACACACTGATTCTCCTCATGGCAGTGGAAGAAGAGTGGCAGCAGGCTCTGACACACTTGTGTCATCAGGAGCTTTTTTCCTTCTTCTGCTACAGCAGACAGCAAGGTTCGAAAGACAAACATGGAGAGCTGCTGCACGTGACTATCATCCTCTGGAACAGGAAGGAAACAAGACCTTGGCATCAGCTGATTCTGGCCCACGTTGGTGCAGGCCTGCATCTCCACAGGGCACCAAGTGTCTGGGCAGCAGCCAGTGGCCGTGGCTGAGGGCACAGAGCCTTACGTGTTCAAAGAGTGGCAGGAGCACCTTAGCCAGCTGCAGGGTGATGGGGCTGGGTATTGGGGCGTCATTATCCAGGAACAAATCACTAAGTAGAACAATGGCCATCCTGACCACATCACTGTCATTTTCCTGCAGGAGCTCTCCGAGGCTTTCGGTCAGGCTCCACATTCTTTTGGCCTGTGCGGAGCAAA